GGGAAATGCCATACCCAGAGGGCAGCACTACCAGAGGACATCAGCCTCTTCCTCTCCACCACTCTCCTCACCAACTTCCGAGAAGCCAGAGGCAGCGAGTAGAATGGAGGGATGGAGAATGAGAGATGCAGCGCAAGGAAACAGAGAAGCCCGCCAGGACCCCTCTCCACATTGTAAGCTTCTAGGTTTAAAAAAAAGGCTCAGGCTGGGGGAAGGGAGAAGTCTTCAATTCATTGAGAGTACAGACTTATGTGATTGAGACACTGGACTGGAACTATCACCATTCTGTGACTGAAAGTGATCAGAGGAATTTTACTATCTGAGTAACTGGAAAAGTTATAGAACTCCCCAGGCTTCATCCATGGGATTTCATCCATAGGACTGGGAAGTCCTCAGATTGCATTCTTATAGGTAGATACGATAAAGTTGCTTTCTACTCTCAAAAAAAATCAAAACTAACCCCCCAAAAGTGCTCCAATAAACATCCTTGCCCTTAAAAAAAAAAAAAAAGTCTATTAAAAAACACACACACACAATAAACCTACTCTGCTATATGTAAATATGGATGTAGGCAAATGCACAGAATATGATCTAGAAAGATATATACAAAACTCAGAAGTGTTTACCTCAAGGGTGGCGGATTAGGGAACAAGAAGGATTTTTACTACACCTGTTATTTCAGTTTTATACACTGAGAATAGGATCACATATTATTTGTAAAATAAAAGATAAATTGCCTCTCACTTAAACAGAACCTGCCAAATTTAATTCTAAAAATTACCATAGAATTGCAATCCATAGAGGTCAGTCTGGGATATGGAGAGCACAAAATATCTTTTCTCAGAGGTACTGGCCTCAAAATTCTGGACCAAGAAGGACCTTACAATGCAGTTAGTTTTCTGTGATCGTATTTGGAGAGGATATACTCACAGTTTCTCAGTCCAAGGGTATGCCTTCCAAGTAGTTTCCTCAATGTAAGAAATAGAGTTTCCTTTGAAATTTCTGTGAAGAAACACAGTTCATATCTTTGAATAGGCAGGAATAAGAATGCACAGAGTAAGTATAAAGAATCATGGCAACCTTATGGGAAATACTCAGATGCAGAAAATATCAGCTTTCTAATTTCTGCAGCTGTCAGTTGCCAAGTTGGCTCAATTAATAAAGACAGACTGTAGGGGGCAGTGGCACAAACGATAAGGCCAACTCCTCAGAACCTGACCTTCCTATCTGCCCAGTTTCTTCTCCTTTATCATTAGCAGCAAATACGTATAAAGAAAATGCATGCCAGGCAACACCACAGCTTTGGTGAAGGGCCCACTGTTGAAATCTCTCCAGGTGTTGGAAGGATAAGGGCAATTAGAAACTAGAGGGACTGATGGACTGGCGTGGAAAGATCTCTTAGGCATATTGCTTAATGAAAAAAATGCAAATCGCTGAGCAAGAAGTAACATGTTTCCTCATTAATATAAACACGTATATGTATGCAAATGCAAAGGGAAGAGACTGGAAGGAAGGACACATACTCAATGGTGACAGGCGTTATTCTACCAGTGATAGGGGAAGGGGAGGGGACTTCCACATTTTATCCTATATTCTTCTGTGACACTTTTTACAATTATTATACCGTGGAAATGTATCCACGAATTACATGTTTAAAATAAATTGTTACACTCCTCAGATTCAGTTTCAACCACTAACTCTGTAGATGACTTTGAATCTTTACCTTTAACTCCGTCCTTTTCCCTCAGCAACAAATAGGTGACTTTGAAATCAAGTCAAAACACTTAAATTGCCTGCCCATCTGCCTGGTGGACATTTCCACTCAACCAGAAACTTTCTGATAGCTTTATGCTCACCAACAAACGATGCCTGAAACTGAACTCGTCTTCCTCACACTGGTTCTCCTTCCTGACTGCTGGATATCCATCTGCGTGTTCTGCCACCATCATTCTCCCAATCATCCAGGACAAAAATTCTGGAGTCATATTTGAGTTTTTCTCTTTCCTGTACACCACTTCCCCAACTCTGTAGTCAGTCACCAAATCCTGTCCTTTTCTTTGAAGTGCTCATAGGATTCTCTTTCCCTTCCTATCACAACTGCTCTGATTCAGCCCCTTTTCGCTTTGTTCCTAGATTTTGCTAGAAGTTTCTATTTGGTCTCCCTGAATCAAGCTTTCCTCTCTAGATGGCCCCACATATGGATTCTAGAATAATCCTCCTGTTTTAATCATTTATCTCTCTTGCTTGAAAACTTTCAATGACTCTCCATAGCTCATAGTGTAACTTTCAAACCTCTATAGCTGATATGCAAGGTTTTTCAAAATCGTATCTTTCATTGCTTTGTAGCCACACTGGTCTACTAAATCCTGGTCATTCCTGCAGCCTTGCCTTTGCCTAGGCTGTATTCCCTATTTTTCTCATTTTAGCAAATCCTAGTCACTCTTAGGAACCCTGGTGGTGCGGTGGTTAAGAGCTTGCCTGCTAACCAAAAGGCCGGCAGTTCAAAACTAGCAGCCACTCCTTGAAAACCCTATGGGGCAGCTCTACTCTGTCCTATAGGGTCTCAATGAGTCGGAATCAACTTAACAGCAGTGGGTTTTGGTTTCAGTCACTCTTTAAGCTAAAGTTTTATCTTGTCCCTGTAGCTTTCTCTGTCCTCCACATGCAGGTGATTACGGATTCTGGTGAATTAGGGCACCTATGGTCTGCATCTCTTTTAGTACTTAATTATGCACCACTTCCCTTTTCACGTATATTCTTTTTCTCCCATCTATCACTGTTATGTTAACAGGCTAATGTCTCATACTTCTGTGGCTCCTACAGTACCTAGCCCTGGATTGGGCATATAACAGGTCCTATATATAGAAGGCCGGGGACAAAGATGAAGCCTGGACCTAACTGAGGGATAAAATAAAAACAGCTAACATTCACATATGCTAGGTGCTTATATAAATGCTTAACATGTATGAACTTATTTAAATCTCACAGCAATCCTATGAGATAGTAATTTTACAGACGAGGAAACTGAGTCACAGAGCTAGGTTCAAACCCACGCAGTTTGGCTCCGAAATCTCTCTTTAACCACTTTGTTGTATCATCACCAACGAGATGGAAAGAGGAACATGATCCTGGAAAGACGACAGAGCAAAATTGGAAAGAGAGCAGAGGTTAAGGCATGAAATGATGGGGCTAAAGAAAAATGGGTCAGGAAAAATAATGAGGGCAACCACAAGTAAAAGCCTGGAGAAGTGGGCACTATAGTAACGAGAGGAATGAGGACAAGGAAAAGTTGACAAACAAAAGGTAAACAAGAAAGTTGTTCAACGTGAGTTGGGAAGATGAGGAAGCCCAGGCAGACCTCAAGGAAAAGGCTGTCATGTCAAACAGGGTGCAGAGAACAAATGAGGAAGGGCAATTCTTACAAGACAGTGAAGGTGCCATTGTACTCGTTGGGCTCTGGCACAGGCACTCTGAGGAGCCTCTTCTCCGAGGGGAGGCCAGTACAGGACAGCGTTTCGTTTTGGCAGATACAGAGCTCACATATGCCAGTCTTCATTCCGTTGGTAGCATTCTGTTCTGGTTGCTCAGTTAAAGCCATTTGAACCCTTTTTAGGGTGTGATGTGTGATAGCATTCTGTTCCTGTTGCTCAGTTAGAGCTTCTTGCACCCTTTCTGGGGTGTAATTTACAGAATACTCCAATAAATGCTGAGTCACTGGGGGAAAAATAACTCCCTCAGGTGATTCTGGTTGCTGAGTTACGGTAAGCTCTAGATCCAAAGGTTTAACTGTAACTTGCTTTGGAGATATGATCTTCTGCAGGACTATAGAGTGTTTGACTTCCACAGTGGGTTCTAGAGATATGGTAAACTCTAGATCTAAAGGCTTAACTGTAACTTGCTTTGGAGATATGATCTTCTGCAGGACTGTAGAATGTTTGACTTCCATAGTGGGTTCTGGAGATATGGTGAGCTCTAGATCTAAAGGTTGAACTGTAACCTGCTTTGGAGGAGATGTGGTCTTCTGCAGTGTTGTAGAATGTGTGACCTCTGTAATGGGTTCTGGAGATATGGTAAGCTCTGGATCCAAAGGTTGAACTGTAACTTGTTTCGGAGGAGATGTGGTCTTCTGCAGGGCTGTAGAATGTCCGACCTCCATAGTGGGTTCTGGAGATATGGTAAGCTCTAGATCCAAAGGTTTAACTGTAACTTGCTTTGGAGATGTGGTCTTCTGCAAGGCTGTAGAATGTTCAACCACCATAGTGGGTTCTGGAGGTATGGTAAGCTCTAGATCTAAAGGTTTAACTGTAACTTGCTTAGGAGATGTGGTTTTCTGCAGGGCTGTAGAATGTTCGACCTCCATAGTGGGTTCTGGAGATATGGTAAGCTCTAGATCCAAAGGTTGCACTGTAACTTGCTTTGGAGGAGATGTGATCTTCTGCAGGGCTGTAGAATGTTTGACGTCCGTAATGGGTTCTGGAGATATGGTAAGCTCTAGATCCAAAGGTTTAACTGTAACTTGCTTTGGAGCAAATGTGGTCTTCTGCAGGGCTGTAGAATGTTCGACCTCCATAGTGGGTTCTGGACGTATGGTAAGCTCTAGATCCAAAGGTTGAACTGTAACTTCCTTTGGAGATGTGGTCTTCTGCAGGGTTGTAGAATGTTTGACCTCCACTGTGGGTTCTGGAGATATGGTAAGTTCTAGATACAAAGGCTGAACTCCAGCTTTCTTTGAAGAAGCCGTGGTCTTCTGCAAGGCTGTAGTATATTGGACTTCTGTAATGCGTTCTGGAGATATAGTAAGCTCCAAATCCAAAGGCTTAACCGTGACTTGCTTTGGAGGAGGTGTGGTCTTCTCCAGGGCTGTAGAATGTTCAATCTTTGAAGTGAACTTGGGAGTTATGGTAAGTTCCAGGTCCAGAGATTGAACTGTAACTTCAGTCAGGTTTGGATGCTGAACCTGAACCTGTTCTGGAAGTGGAAATGTCACCTGAGGATGCTCTGGAGAAGAAGCTGTAGTCCTCCGCAGGACTGTAGAATATTCAACCTCCTTAATGGGTTCTGGAGTTATGGTAAGCTCCAGGTCCACAGGTTTAACTGTGATGTTGGGTAAGTTTGAATGCTGAGCTTGATCCTGACCTGTTGGTGGAACTGTCACCTCATGATGCACTGGAAATTGAGCTACAACCTCCTCAGGTGGCTCTGGTGGCTGAGTTGGGGTCTCCTGCCTGGTTGGAGAAGGTTCAACCTCTGTTTTGGGTTCTGGAGATATGGTAAGCTCCAGGTCCAAAGATTGAACTGTGACGTTGGGCAAGTTTGAATGCAGAACTTCATCTTGACCTAAAGGTAGAACTGTCACCTCATGATGTGCTAGATGTTGAGCTACAACCCCCTTAAGAAGCTCTAGAGGCTGAGTTGGAGTCTCCTGCTTGATTGGAGTAGACTCAACCTCTGTATTGGGTTCTGGTGATATGGTAAGCTCCAAGTCCAAAGTTTGAATGGTGAATTGCTTTGTAGGAGAAGCTGTGGTCTTCTGCAGGGTTGTAGAATATTCAACCTCCAAAATGGGTTCTGGAGTTATGGTAAGCTCCAGGTCCACAGGTTTAACTGTGACGTTGGGCAAGTTTGAATGCTGAGCTTGATCCTGACCTGAAGGTGGAACTGTCACCTCATGATGCAATAGAAATTGAGCCACAAACTCCTCAAGAGGCTCTGGGGGCTGACTTGGGGTCTCCTGGTGCGTTGAAGAAGGTTCGACCTCCATATACGGTTCTGGAGTTACAGAAAACTCCAGGTCCAGTGGTTGAACTGTGACTTCAATCAGGGTTGGCCTCTGAACCTGTACCTGGTCCAGATGTAGAAGTGTCACCTCAGGGCACTTTGGAGAAGAAACTGTAGTCTTCTGCAGGGCTGTAGAATGTTCAACCAGTGTAGTGGGTCCTGGTGTTATGGTAAGCTCCAGGTCCAAAGGCTGAACTGTACTTTCAGTCAGAGTTGGATGCTGAGCCTGAAACTGGTCTGGATGTGGAATGGTCACCTCAGGACAATTTGGAGGAGGAGCTGTAGTCTTCTGTGGGGCTATAGAATGTTCAACCTCCATAGTGTGTTCCGGAGTTATGGTAAGCTCCAGGTCCAAAGGTTGAGCTGTAACGCTGGGTAAGTTTGAATGCTGAACTTGATATTGACCTGTTGGTGAAACTGTCACCTCATGAAGCACTGGAAGTTGAACTACACCCTCCTTAGGAGGCTCCAGAGGTTGAACTGGGGCCACCTGTTGGGTTGTCAAAGATTCCTCCACCTTAGGAGGCTCTGAAGGCTGTGCTGGAGCTCCCTGCTGGACTGGAGAAGGTTCTATCTCCTTAGGGGGCTCCGGAGGATGAACTGGGGCCTCCTGCTGAGTTGGAGAAGGTTCAGCCTCATTAGAAGGCTCAGGAGCCTGAGATGGGACCTCCTGCAAGGATGGAGGAGGCTCCACTTCCTTAGGGGGCTCTGGAGGTGAGGCTGTGGCTTCCTGTTGGCTTGGAGAAGGTTCAGCATCTTTAGAGGGCTCTGGAGGTGGAGCAGAGGCCGCCTGGTGGACTGGAAGTGGTTGGACGTTCTCAAAAGGCTTTGGAAGTAGAGCTGGGGCCTCCTCCTGGACTGGAGAAGGCTCTACCTCCTTAGGAGGTTCTGATGGTGCAGCTGGGACCTCCTGCTGCACTGAAGATGGTTGTACATTTGTAGGGGGTTCTTGGGGTGGAGCAGGAGCCTCCTGCTGGACTGGAGAAGGTTGGACTTCCTTATGGGGCTCTGGAGGCTGAGATAGGGTCTCTTGTTGCATTGGAGAAGGTTCTACCTCCATAGGGGGCTCAAGAGACTGAACTGGGGTCTCCTGCTGGGCTGGAGAAGGTTCAACTTCCTTAGGGGGCTCTGGAGGCTGAGATGAGGGTCCTTGCTGTAATAAAGAAGGTTCTACCTGCATCGGGGGCTCAGGAGACTGAGCTGGAGCCTCCTGCTGGGCTGGAGAAGGTTTAACCTCCTTAGGGGGCTCTGGAGTCTGAAATGGGACTCCTTGCTGGTTTGGGGAAGTTTCCACCTGTGTAGGAGAGTCTGGAGGCTGATGTGCAGTCTCCTGCTGGACCAGAGGAGATTCTACCTCCTTAGGGACCTCTGGAGTAAGAGCTGGGGCCTCCTGCTGGGATGGAGAAGGTTCTGCCTGCATATGGGGCTCAGGAGATTGAGCTGGGGCCTCCTGCTGGGCTGAAGAAGGTTCTATCCCCTCAAAGGGCTCTGGAAACTGAACTGGGGCTTCCTGCTGGACTGGAGAAGGTTCAACATTTTCAGGGGGCTTTAGAGGCTGGTATGAGGCCTCTAGCTGGGTTGGAAAAGGTCCAATCTCTGTAGTGGGTTCTGGAGATATAGTAAGTTCCAGATCCAGGGGTTTAACTGTGACATTGGGCAACACTGGGTGCTGAGCTTCACTCTGACCTGTAGGTGAAACTGTCACCTCATGATGCCCTGGATGTTGAGTTACAACCTCTGTAGGGGGCTCTGAAGTCTCAGTTGGGGTCTCCTGTATGTTTGAAGGAGGTTCAAACTCCTCAGGTTGCTCTGGAGGTTGAGCTGGGGCTTCCTGCTGCCCTGAAGGAAGTTGGACGTCTTCAGTGGGATCTGCAGGTTCTGTTAGGTCTTCCTGCTGGAATGGGGAGGGTCCAACCTCTGTAGGAGACTCTGGAGGCTGAGCTGTGGCTTCCTGTAGGGCTGGATACAGTTCCGACTCCTCGGCGGACTCTGGAGGCTGAGCTGGGGCCTCCTGCTGGTCTGGAGAAGGAATATCTTCTGTAGGATTCTCTGGAGTTTGAGTTGGGCCTACCAGATGGCCTGGAGAAGGTTCAGCCTCAACAAGGGACTCTGGAGATTGAGTTGTGACCTCCTGCTGGTCTGGAGAAGGTTGAACCTCTGTAATGGTTTCTGTAGTTATGGTAAGCTGTAGATACAGAGATTTAACTGTGACATTGGGCAACGCTGGATGCTGAGTTTCATCTTGACCTGGAGGTGAAACAGTCACCTTATGATGCCCTGCTGGTTGCGTTACAGCCTCTGTAGGGGAATCTGGAGGTTGAGCTAGGCCCTCCTGCAGGACTGGAGAAGGTTCAACCTCTTCAGGGGGCTCTGGAGGTAGAGGTGGGTCTTCCTGCTGGGTTGGAGAAGGCTCATTCTCTTTAACAGGGTCTGGGGGCTGTGTTGGGTCATCCACTTGAATGGGTGAATGTTCAACCTCCTCAAGGAGCTCCGGAGGCTGAGCTAGTTCCTCCTGGTGGGTTGGAGAAGTTTCATCCCTCTTACTGGGCTCTATGGGCTGTGGTGGGCCCTCCTGCTCGAATAGAGAAGGTTGGGAATCGTCAGGGGGATCTGGAGGTTGCACTGGGTCCTCCTGCTGAAGTGAAGAAGGTTCGACCTCCTTAGGTGGATCTGGAGGCTGAGCTGGGATTTGCTCCTCGGTTGAAAAAGGTCCAACCTCCTCAGGGGACTCTAGAGGCTGAACTGGGGCATTCCGTTTTGT